AAATAGACTATATACCAGATCATAAAAGTGATTCTGAACAAATTCTATAGTATTAGAACCATACTTAGTATGTTTTCTGTGCTAAGTAAGATTAAAGTGTAACAGAGCCTATATTTTAAAAATCTTAAGGTGTTTGCTTTACTTATGTTCCTTTCTCCTTGTCCTTTTCTTCTTCCATGCATGATTGCTTGCACTTAGTCATTTCCACAGAGAGAGAGAAGTCACTAATCATTGATTAACTTCACATCCTGACCCTTGGGAGTTGCCTACTTGATTAATGAACTTGTTTTTCAGAGAACAGTAATTCTTAGGTCATGCTGACCTCCTCGATGGCGTTCAGGAGTTTAATCAGCTGAGGGATGCAAGCAGCTTTGATCACTGGGGACCTCACCTCCTGCATACTTACCTTACTCATAAAAGTCACAAGTTATGTTCAAAGCCATGTTGGATTTGAGAGTCTGCCTCTCCTCTTCTCATGCTTTGGCCAAATCAAATAAACCTTTCTCTGCTCCTAATCAGTGATATGTCAGTGTTTGGCTTACTATGCAAAATGTACTCAAACTAGCTTTTGGGGTTTGACAACAAATGTGGAAATAAAAGGGGACAACTATAATATCTCAAAATATTTAGATACTAAGCAGCATACAAATAAATAACTAATGGATTCAAAGAAGACATCATGATGATAATTTTAAAACATTTTGGAAATTGGAAGTAGCATGAGAAAAAAGATGCATTACATATCAGAGATGCTTAATAAAATTAACAGCAGATTTCTCATCAGAAACCATGGAGACTAGAAGAAAATGGGATGACATTTTCACAGGCCTGAGAGACAAAAACTGTGTCAATCAAGAACACCATCTCTGGTAAAATAATTCTTTTAAAATAGAGAAATTAAGACATTGCCAGATAAGCAAACACAAAGAGAGTTTGCTACTAGCAGACCTGCTCCCTAGGAAACATTGAAAAGAGTCCTTCAGGTTGAAGAGAAAGAACACGAGACAGTAACTCGAATACATGTAAAGAAAATAAAGAACACTAGTAAAGGTATGGACAAAGGTAAATATAAATGATAGTATAACGTATTTTCTGTTTGTAACCCTTTTTTTTCTTGTATCTGATTTAAAAGACAACTGCATAAATAAAAAATTGTAAGTCTAAGTTGATGGGCACACAATGTAAAAAGATGAAAGTTGTGACAATAACAGCATGAAAGAGACAGGAAATAGAACTTTATAGAAGCAAAGCTTTTGTATACTATTGAAATTAGGTTGGTGTTAATCCAAAATATATTGTTATAAATGAAGTTGTCATGGTAATCCCCAGGGCACCACTAAGAAAACACTATTTAAAAATAACCCAGGAAAAAAAACGTTAAACCTTTTCTACTTTAATGGATACTATCAAGCAAGTGAAAAAGGTAAAACTGGGAGAAAGTATTTGCAAATCATATATCTGATAAAGGTCAAATATCCTGAATATATACAGAATTCTTACAACTCAATAATAGAAACAAATTTAACCGAGTTTTTAACAATGAGCAAAAGGTGTGAATAGACATTTCTATAAAAATATACAAATGGTGGATAAGCTTATGAAAAGGTATGCAGTATCATTGGACATTAGGAAAATGCAAATTCAACCCAAAATGCAATGCCAATTTATACTTTCTAAGATGGTTATAATTTAAACAAATGAATAAATGTTGGGGACCCTGAAAAGATGTTAGAACTCTCATACATTGCCTGTGGACATGTAAAATCATACAACCACTGTGGAAAACATTTTTTTGCAGTTTCACAGAAAGTTAAATGTAGAATGACCATAAGACCCAGGAATTATACTCCTCAGTATGTACCATCAGGATTGAAAACACAGATTTTCACAAAAATATGTATACTTGGTACATAGCTGGATTACTTATAACAGCCAAAATGTAGAAACAAACCAAGTGTGTATCAACTGAAGACTGGAGAAACAAAACGTTTAGTCATACAACGAAATATTACTCAGCACGAAAAAGGAAGGAAGTACTGATACATGGATGAACCTTGACAGCATTATGCTAAGTGAAAGAAACCAGACACATAAGACTACATGTTGTATATTCCATTTATATGACATGTCCAGTTTGTGCCTGTTGTCCCAAAGTAATATTTAACACATACTTTTTCATGTTCAAAATTGTGCCCATTTGATAAATTGCAAGATAATCCTATTATTGTGTAAAATGTGTGGTAGAGTGTGAAGTTGTGTTTGATTGATCTGAGAGAAGATTTGTGCTACAAAGCAATATTGGATCACACACTTTTCCAGGATGCATTCCAGAGTAAGTTGCTTCAAACAAATTTGGTAAGACTAAGGACTAGGCCAAAACAAGAAACAAGAATAGTACATAAGCAATGACAACTATCACGTGAACTCTCTTCTTCTGTAAGGTACATTTATATATGTAATGATAATGACTCAAAGTGCTGGGAGGCAAAACTTTCCAAATAATAATCATCTCCTATTGAATAGAAAATGCATGTTACACCGATGTTTAAAAATAGTACCAGGTGGTTTTGTATTGTGGATTACTGCTCTTCAAGAATGATTCTATCTAGTCCTCTTCATTACTTATAAATAAATACTTTCTAAGGACACTTCTTCCAAATGAAGATTTCATTTCGAAAACTAGTAACAATATTACTTACAAGATTCTTAGTGGAGACCTTGTAAATATACCTGTGGCTGTTTCAGGTAGTCTAGAAAATAAAGCACATTTCTTACCTTTCTTATTGATAGCTCTTTGCATCCAGAAATGCACTATTCATTTTAAATGAAATATGAGAAACTTTCTTAATTCTGTGTTACTAAAACAAAACAATTTGAATATGCTTCTATGAGTGAAAGAAAGCATATGTCTGAAGTATCCACTTGTACTACGAAAATTAACAAAAATGAAAATTGCTTGTGTTGAATATTTAAAAACCTGATGACAATAAAAATTATTTTCACTAAAGCATTCTAAAATATGATTATTAAATGAATCTCACTGATGTAACAAAAGGAAGTCTTGAAGTACCTGCTTTAGCCCCAAGCATTGTAAAGATTTTTAAGCCTATTTTGTGGAATACTAAGCAGCCATAAAAAAGAATGAGTTCATGTCCTTTGCAGGGACATGGATGAAGCTGGAAACCATCATTCCCAGAAAACTAACACAGGAAGAGAAAACCAAACACTGCATGTTCTCATTCATAAGTGGGAGTTGAACAGTGAGAACAGATGGACACAGGGAGGGGAACATCACACACTGGGGCCGGTTGGGGATGGTGGGCAAGGAGAGGGAGAGCATTAGGACAAATACCTAATGCATGTGGGGCTTAAAACCTAGATGACAAGTTGATAGGTGCAGCAAACCACCACGACACGTGTATACCTATGTAATAAACCTGCATGTTCTGCACATATATCCCACAACTTAAAATGAAAAAAAAAAAAATGCCTATTTTGAATACTACTAAATACTTGAAGGACACTTTTTCTAATTAGAACAATATACACATTATATTTATAGTTTTTTAAAAACTACATTTTCACTTTTTCCTGTGTGACCAGCATTAGGAAAATATACTTCAGGTTTTGTGGAATCTTTTCCTTGCAATATTTCCTTATTTTTGAACTTCATGTAGCAAAGAACACTTTTCACCAGTCAGTGTTTAAAACTATTTATCCAGTTCCTTGTGGTCATAGGAGAGGGTCTGGCCTAAGAAAGATGCATGCTCAGTGAAGCTCATTTGCCTGGCATCTTCCAGGAAGAAAGTATCTGGAATCACTACAGAAGCATCCAGGAAGTTGGTCTCTGTATCTCTCTCGGTCTCTTTTGTCTTACCCACCTTGTTAGACCAGCTTCTTCCTATCAGAAGCATTAACAGAGAAATGTTTCTAATATCAAATTTTCTTAAGGTCAGAGAGAAAAAAAAAGGCAGAATACCATTTTGTCAGTTATTCCCAAGACAAATACTGTAGGAAAGGTGAAAAGCTAGGAAGAGAAAAAGAGAATATGGTTAAATGCCTTTGCACTACATTCAGAAGGAATTGGCCTAAAACAGAGCCTATATGGAAGGAGAACAAAGTTGGGGGACTGGCACCATCCAACTTCAAGACAAAGCTACAGTAATCAAGGCAGTTTGGCACTGGCAAAAAAATAAACAAATAGGCCAATGGGACAGAATAGAGAGCTCCAAAGTAGATCCACATAAATATAGTCAACTGATCTTTGACAAATTAGCAAAGGCAATACAATGGAGAAAAGCTAGTCTTCTCAACAAATGGTACTGGAACAACTCGACATCCACATGGCAAATAGTGAATATAGTTACAGACCTTATACCTTCACAAAAATTACCTAAAAATGAACTCTAACCTAAATGTGAAATGCAAAACAATAAAACTCCTGGAAGATAACATAGAAGAAAACCAAGATGACCTTGGTTTAGAAATGATGTTTTAGATATAACATCAAATAAATGATTCATAAAAGAAATAACGAAGGTCAGACTTCATTGAAATAAAAAAAAATTGTTCTGCAAAAGACACTGTTAAGAGAATGAAAAGACAAGCTTGAAATGGGGAGAAACCATTTGCAAAAGACATATCTGATAATAGACTTATCCAAAATGTACAAAGAACTCTTAAATCTCAACAATAAGAAATAAACAACCCAAAGACAATAAGCCAAAGATATACACAGACACTTTACCAAAAAAGATATACAGATGGCAATAAGCATATAAAAAGGTGTTCAAAATCATGGCATTAAAGCAACATCATGCAAATTAGAAAAACAATGAATTACCACCACGCACATAGAAGAACTAAAATCCAGAACACTGAGAACACAGGATAGAGTTGGAGGAACAGGAACTCTCGATCATTACAGGTGGGAATACAAAAAGGTACAGCCACTTTGGAAGAGAGTTTGGCAGTTTCCTTATAAAACGAAACAAACTTACCATATAACCCAGAAGTGGTGCTCCTTGGTATTTACCAAAATGAACTGAACACTCTATCTACACAAAAACCTGCACACACATGTTTACAGCAGCTTTACTCATATTGTCAAAACTTGGAAGCAAGATGGTCTTCAGTAGGTGAATGGATAAATAAACTGTGGTACATCCAGATGATGGAATATTATTTATTGTAAAAAGGAAATAAGCTATAAAAATACATGGAAGAAGTGTAAATGGATATTACTAATAGAAAGAAGCCAATTTGAAAAAAAGCCAAATGCTATATAATTCTGATTATATGACATTCTGGAAAAGATAAAACTGTGAAGGTAGTAAAAAGATGAGTGGTTGCCAGGAATTAAGCAGGAGAAAGGGAGGCATAGGCAGGACACAGAGCATTTTTAGGCCAGTAAAACTATTCTGCATGTTACTGAATAGGTGAGTACATGCCATTATACAGTTGTAAAATCCCTAGAATGTATACAACACCAAGAGTGAACCCTAATATAAACTATGGATTTGGGGTGACAGCAGTGTGTCAGTGTAGGTTTATCAATTATAACAAATGTGTCACTGTGATACAAGATGTTGATAGTAGGAGAGGCTGTGCTTGTGTGAGGGCAGGCTGTATGGGGGAACTCTTTGTGTACTCTGTATACAGTTTTTGCTGTGAACTCAAAATGGCTTTAAAAACTAAAGCTTTTTTTTTTTTCTTTTTAAAGAAAGAGTTTCTAGTTTTATCCTCTACATTCACCTAGCAATGATAAGGGTGAGCCTGGAGTTGTTTCTCAAGTCGGGGTACTAAAGAAAGAAAGTAAAGGGCTATTGTTGCCTGCCACCAGCTTTCAGATAGCCTGTCAATCAAAGGCAGCTTTGTGCTATACTCAAAGACAGCAACACAGCTCCCTGTGCTGGGGTTGTTAAAGTCGTATCTGAAATTGTACTCACTCCTGTCATAGTCCTGAGGTACCAACTCTATATTTGTGGACTTCAGTTTTACTCTTTCCTAAGACTTTTTCTAGATATATATTTTTTTTCTGGTCTGTAGTTTTTGTTCCACTTGTAAAGTGAATAAAATTTAGAAATCAAGGGTGGAAAAATGAAGAGAGCCCCTTAGAATTATTTCTTCATACATACATTTAAAAAACATGGCAATGCTCTATACTTTAGATGATAAAGTTGTTTTCCATGGGAGTATGGGTTATTAATTCTGTTATTGCTATACAGGTACACGGGGATTGAACAGTGAAGTAAATAGATGACAGATGATGATAGCTAAGTTTCTCACTGCTGGAGTAGAAATCTATAGAAAAACAAGGGGAGGAAGCTAGAATGATCCATGTGGTAGTAGGTTAGATTTGGACACTTCAGTATCAACTCATGTTTAGCTTAATATACAGATAGTTATGAATAGAAATATTTATAAATATGTGCATGTATAGGGGTAAGTATACAGACATTTATTTTCCTCTTCTGTCAGTTGAGGCAGCCTAAAAACAACCAGTTAGCAACAAGCACACCTAGCACCAAGATCTTGGTGTCTAATACCATTCTCTAGTAAAGGTAAGCAGGACTTCTTGGAGAAATGGTTGATTTGAGCACCAGGGCTGGAAATATACAAAATGACCTCAAGCATCATGGCACTTTGTTGCTCAGAAATGAAGAAGTACTAAAAGCAAAACAAACAAACAAACTGAAAACCCATAATGATGAAGTTATGTTACAAGGACAACAGAAGCAGCTCTCAATGGTCAACCTGGAACAACTAGAGCATAAGAAAAGCAGTATTTATAGCCCAAAGTATTAAATAAGTATTATATCTGTGAGTGCATATAAATGATTTAATAAATCAGTAAATGGAGGAGAAAAGACAAATCACCCATATAGAAGAATTTCAAGTAAATTATTTAGATACTCCACCCTACATGAAGGGGAGCATAGCTGTTCACTCCTTAAGTGTGGGCTGTACATAGTTGCTTCCTTCCAAAGAGTACAGTAGGGAAAAGGGGAAAAACAATTATTTTATAATGGAGAAACCTGACAAACGCTACTTGGCCAGATGATCAAGGTGAACATCAGTAGTGATAAGTCATTTTGCTAGTCTGTACTGTGATCTTCCTCTCTAAGAATGTATAACCCTAGGCTAATCATGAAAAAAATACCAGGCAACTCCTAATTGAGGGACATTTAACAAAATACCCAGACAGGTACTCCTCGAAACTATCAAAGTCATCAAAAAAAAAATGTAAATCTGAGAAACTGTAGCAGCCAAGAGGAGCCTAAGAAAACATGACAATTCACCAGGTACAGTGGCTCACACCTGTAATCCCAGCACTTTGGGAGGCCGAGGCAGGCGGATCACAAGGTCAGAAGTTCCAGACCAGTCTGAACATGGTGAAACCCCACCTCTACTAAAAATACAAAAAAGTTAGCTAGGCATGGTGGTGGACCCCTGTAATGCCAGCTATTTGGGAGGCTGAGGCAGGACAATTGCTTGAACCTGGGAGGCAGAAGTTGCAATGAATCAAGAACACGCCATTGCATTCCAGTCTGGGTGGCAGAGCGAGACTCTGTCTCAAAAAAAAAAAAGAAAAAAGAAAGAAAGAAAAGAAAAGAAAAAGAAAATAAAAGAAAACATGACAATTAAATGATTAAATGTAATGTGGTAGCCTGTATGAAATACTGAGATTTTGGAATAGTAAAAGGACAAAACTAAGGAAATCTGTATAAAGTAAGGACTTTAGTTAATATCAAAGTATCAATATTATTTCATTAATGTAACTAATGTGCCATACTATATTTGATGTTATTAACAGGAGAAGCCTGAGAAACACTGTCTGAGCTAAAGGACCAAGGTCAACATCAGCAGTGGTAAGTCACATTGATAGTATGTACATTTCATATGATGTGATGTAAATAGCTTTTTACTTCTGTGATCTTTCTGGTATTGGGTATATGGGAACTCTCTGTACTCTCTTGAACATTTTTCTGTAAACATAAAACTATTCTAAAATAGAAAGTTTATTTTAAAAAACATGGCATTTTGTTGCTCTAGGAAAAGCGATATATAAAAGAATGTGCCTTAATGTGTCTCTGTCATATGCTTGCAGAAAGAGTAGACTTTGGAACTTGGAAGTGACTCCTAAAATAGAGTGTTTTTAAAACTATGGAACATAACCTCAATAAGATTATTGAGAATGGCTACTTGGCAAATAAGGAAACTTTTGCATCTGAGATTATTTATGATACATCACAATAGCCGTCTTAAAAATGGAAGCAGATTCTCAGAGACCTAAGCACAAACAAATGATAAAGGATTGCAAGTGTAAATCTTAGGCTTCTCTAGGATGAAGAAATCTCCTTGAAAAGCCTATGTTTCAAAGCCTATCTGTGCAGGATGAATGAAAATCCATTTGCCCATGTTAATGAGCAGATTTTCACCAAATACTAATGATAAGAGTGATATCTCAGAGGATAGGGTGGCCCAGAGAATAGTTGAGATTCCTCGGAAATATAGGGCCACAGATAGCAAAACTGAGCCATGATTCAGTGATCAGGCAGATGAGGAATACAGTTTTGCAGCAAAGAGTGTGACTGAAGTATGTTAGAATGAAAGATCTGAGACAGTGCTGACTAATACCTGGATGTCCATGTGAGAAGTAAAAGTCATTGAAGTTCTAGAAGTAATCTGAATTTAAGAACTCAAGGTTTCGAGTTACAGACCTATCTGTTGCTCTCCCTCACCAGGCAAGAGACAGCAAGACTTGTAAGCCTTAATTTTGTCATCTGAAAAGTAGGAGTAATGAGGGTGCTTACCTCATAAGGTTGTCATGAATATTAAATAACATGGTTTTAAATGTTTAAAATAGTGCTGGGTATATATATGTAATAAAAGAGGACAGAGAGCTACTATTATTATGATTATGTTATTACTCATATTATTGTAAAGGATGCCTGTGTGGGGTGATAGTATAAGAGGGAAGCACTAAGACAGTGTCTGGCACAAATTGGGGACACAGTAAGTGTTTGTTTTGGAGTCCTCTTCTCTGAAATAATGATGGTTTGGCCATGTGATGTGGCAGATAGGGCTTTCAGTCAGGTTCATGTTCATTGATGTCTGTTCCTGATTATCTGCGTGGTATTTGGATATCCAGTAAAGAGTTCTTCATATCGTCTCAGTTTAGAATTCCTTTGTTCTCTGTGTTAATAAATAAGTTCTGCACTAATTATCATAGTTAACCATTGACTGAATATTTAAGCCCACAATGGAAGCAGTCCAAATCTGCACTTTGTGCTGTAATATATTCTTTTTCTATAGCATCGTCTCTACTGAAAAGCATTTGGTGGTTACTATGTACACATACACATGGATGTTGTATGTGTTTCTAAGTTTTCCAGATACTGGTTATTTCATTCTTTCATGGGGGAAAAAGTGAGTGGTAACCAGTGACACTGGTTTTTGTTTGTTTAATTCTACTTCTAGGTGTGATGTTCCTTAGAGAGATAATAAAATAAGGACATTATAAGTTTTTGCAAAGCTCACACCTTCTGGGCCAGAGGAGCAGAAAATGCATTTAAATATATAGAGCTAAAGTCCAATATTTAGGTCTTCCAACTTAATAGGTATGTCTTAGTCTGGGTCTCTGAAAGTAGACTGAGACCATGTCTCATGTGAGGACATTGAGGTTGTATACTGGAGAGTGCCATGGCAAGGACCAAGTGTATAGGGAAGAGATAATGAAATAGGAAAGAAAAAAAGCCAATACAAGGAAGCATTATTAAGCTAGCAACCAGAGAGGATAACTAGAATTCCGTCCCACTAGATCTCTTCAGGAGCTTTATGAAATAGGTCTCGTACTGTCCACCCAAGTATAAAAGAGTGAAGCATTTATCTGCTGTCACCTGATACCTGTATAGGTTAACTCCCTTACACTTCTGGCTTACACATAGGTGAGTGCTACATGTGTTTCTGGTATAGACAGGAGACAGGAAAATACTGGCTAGAAGTGAGTGGTTCCCTTGCAAAGGCCCCACCCTCAAGCCTGAAGACCTGTGGACCTAAATGAGGACAGGCATTTCTGTTTTCGCACCCCAAAAGTTGACTTTTGGCCCACCACGAGACCTCAACAGGCACACACAAGTGGCTGAACTTTGGGACCAGCGCAAAAGACAGTGGAAAAACATGGCAGAGAAACAGAGAAGAGGA